CTGATGCTCTTATCTTAACTTTAAAGACAAATGTTGGTGAGTTCTTCCTTTGCCCGAGCTCCACTTTTCTATAACGTTTCATCAAATTCAGCTTAATAACTTTTCCACATTCTAGCTAACAGAATGAATGGCTCACCCTCCCACTGAGACTCAGCCTAGCAGGCAAAAAAACGACATTTTAACAGCCAGTCTGTCGATCTGTATCACTGATTCTTCATGCATGAACCTAAATGTTAATCTATACATTACTGAGCATCAATACACTATTATTATTACTACTTTTTGGTGATTTTAGAAAATGACACTTCTTGGCTACACCTCTAAAAAGAAAAAAATATCACCCACACGTCATCCATCCTTACCTTGATGAACCTCCCTACTATTTGTGAAGTGTATTTGGGCAACTGCTGCACTTTGCCGTGGAGAATAAGTGACACCAGGATGTATTTTTTATAGGCTTCCAACATGATGTGGCTCACTGCCATGGCTGGAGTGGTTATTGCCTGTCACAGAAAATTAAAAACAAAAGCATGTGCAGTGATGCCGCAAAGAACGTTTAAATTCAGGAGGCAACAAAAAGACTGTAAAGACAGTACCTGTTCATAAAAATACAGTGCTCTTTCAAAATTTTTGAGGCCCGTGTAGATCATGCCACCATAGTAGTAGTAACATAAAAAGTGCTTTGCGTCGTAGGCTCCGTTCTCCTTGCAGATGTCCATCATGTCCACCTCCAAAAAGGGCAGGGCTGGCTTGAAGCACTTTGCTAACAAACACAGCTGCAGAAGAACATATAAGAGGTGAACAAGTGGCTTAGACTGCATATGGAAAAGGAGATGTGCTGGGATTACAACTGGGATGATGCTAAGAACTTACCTGACACAGGTCTGCGTGAACTGAGGTAAGTTGGTTTGTGTTCATCTGCATTTTGTCTATTGCCTGTTTTAGGACCACGACACCCCTCAATGGCTGTCAGAAGAGGAGAAATTGTGAGTTACTAAGCTGAAAGTCGTCCTGAGACACCCAAATGTGCTGGAAACAGTCAGGGCCTGAAGAACACGCTAAAATATTTAGATCAAGAAGGGAAAGGAAAACATGCTCCACTGTGGTGCTGAAACTCAGCGCTGTCTTAGTGATGAAATGACTCATGTGAGCCCTGTGATGAAAAATGATTGTGACTGACTCATTTCATTCTGACCAAAGGGGGGAAATTGGTTTTAGCTGCAAGGTAAATGCAACACACACACACTATGTAGGCCACACAGCATTTAGGAGATAAACACTAACATGATCATTCAGGTGGAAGGAAGTTTAGGGGTTGGGTGCTGTATTAGACAGCAGGGTCATGTGACTCTCCTGCTGCTTGTGAGAGCGCGGATAAATACACTTGCAGTGTTTCCCCACGCACAGACTTGATTTGGCCATCCAGATATATCAACACCCAAGTATACATTTGTCTACTGGCAGTCTCCTCGCCATTATTTTGAGTGTTCAGTGGCTGCAACCTGGCTTACTGTTGTGGCAGTCCTTAATATTACTCTCCAGAGTCTCTCATCCACCCTCATGAGCTGTAGCTGCTGGTGGTAATTCTTGTAGGTTATAGCTAGCACCAGCAACAGGTTGCTTGTTCATTGAAGCTAAGAACCACAACAAGGACTACTGTTATTGCATTCGCTTCACGCCCATCCGAGCAATGATAAACAACTAGAAAGGATTACTCTTATACCAACTCCTTAAGAAAGCACCCGATCCCACAAACACAATCTAATTCAGTAGGAAATGCTGACGAGGGTATTGCAATGGTGGCGCGTAGGGTGAGTGATATCAAATGAACTGCTGACAGGAAAGGCCCTAACCCCTTTAGCTTCAAGAGATACAATTGTGTGGATGTCACTAAATCAGCAGCCTGCAGATAAATACACACTGTTTAAAAACATGTGGCCTCTGACAGAAGACAAAAGTT